AAGAATTTTCATTAAAAATCTGTCAGGGCAAATTGCAAATTCTAAAAATCCGTTGAGAATTTGAGGTTCACTATGGCAAGGCTTGACTGTATATATTCGTATCTACATTTTCTACCTTGAATTTTCCATCAACCTTTAGAACACTTTCTATAAAATTGGTTGCCGCCATATTGGCCGTTCCTATCAGTAGTTTGTTATATACTTCCACAAGCATGTCACATAGTGTATAAAATGTCTGAAAATAGTCCAGATCGAAAGGCTGTAGATATCGAATGATAAAATTCTTAAGAAAGATGGATCATAATAATTACAGAAAATACATGAATTTGTTTGCTTACAATATTTGGCACAAAAAGATATGTATATTCTCCACTTTCTTGGAACGATGAGTCCTCATGTTTCGTTATTTTTGATTTTCTAAAAAATATTTTCTTCATAAAATATGTTAATATTTGTTAGATATGTTCAACTTGATAAATTGCATGAATGAATGGTATTATACTATTATGCTTACCATTTTTTGTCTTGAATGTTCGTTGGTGTGATATTCAAATTCCTGTAGCATTACATTCAAGGCTTTAACGTAGTCTTGTGGATTACTTATATCAAGTATTGATGCCAATGAGCAACCGAGAATAAAAAAGTTTCCTGTACTATAAAAGTAAACATATTCAGTCAATATACTGTTACCGTAAAGTGCCTGTGCTATAATTAATTTTACCGTTTCTTCATTCTAACATTTTCATACATCAATCTCAAATCTTCTTTGTTTAAACATACAGTATTAAACCAATGTATCCTTCCTTCGTGAACCCGCTTTAAGTATGAAAAAGTTGTTATACGTTTTTGAACAAGTTCATATAAAAAGTCATATGAAGACGTTGTTCCATTATGATCAGCCGTTGAAGAGTTGGAAGGTGAGCGAGGGCTTGGTGTTGGAAAAATGTGTGACTGGTAGAATTGTCGTCGTAGTAGTGGTGTTCGGCATCGAGGACGCATTTGCAACGGTCGAATTTGCTGCTTTGTCCATGCGCGTTATTTTATCTCAAATACCATAACCTTAATTAGATGAACGATTCTTTAACAATAATTTTACGCACGGTGAGACTAGTGTAATCTAGTATAATTTATCCATCTTGCATGATGTACAAAATGATTGTGATACATATATCAAAAATTTAAAATTATCGCGTGGTTTAGGTCACGGTTTTATTGTACGTAGAATAATGGAAGAATCACCACAAAGCAATAACATAGAACTAAACGACGAGACTGATACTGATCGAGATGATCGAGACGAGATTATGTGTGAAATCCCAGTTTATCTTTCTCAAAAACTCACAAAAAAAACTCTTTATAGTTCAGCATCCAGTCCGACCACGCGCAAATCCATATATAGGTAAAAATACACCACGAGAAGCGCGTTTCAAGCCACATTCAAAAAAGCTTGAACTTGACATCCCGTTACAAACTACCTCCCAATGGTATGATCGGGACAGAGGTGCAGAATTGGCGTTGGGACTTAATGATAAAGAAGCTCGAACTATTTACGATCGTACATGGAGACTTGATCCATACGATGGATTATTAGATAAACAGACATTGCAGTCGACAATTGTCCCACCACAAGCAACTTATTGGATGGGAACAATGAAACAAAGTACGAATATAACTAATTGACACAATTTAATATTACATATATTTTACAATTTTTTTTATTGTATTTTAGACGCTCTTCACTTAACACCCGTTCATGAAACATTACAATTACGCCCAGGATTGAAATATCATGATAAGATTGATGAAAAAAACAGAAATGCCAATAAGAAAGCACAAGCTCTAGAAGAAGAAGACAGTATTAGTGAATTAAAAAGTGCTAGAATGGCGTCTGATGATCAAAGTGTCGTTTCCAGCAAACTCAGGGGACCTGGAAAGGGAAAGCTTCCTATGGTGATTTATAAAAAAATCATAAATAATAATTTGAATATGAAAGATTTAATCAAATGTACTTTTTTTACTAAAACATTATATTATTATTAGAATTCTATTACAGATAAAAGCACAGATAAATCATTGCTTAAAAAAAACACCCGTCCAAAATTACAACGATTAGGGGAGGAAGAATCATGGATTAAAATGAGATATTATGATGTTGAAGTAAGATAAATAACTA